TTGAAGTCGATGTCGATGGTGCGAAGGTGGGGCAAAGGGTGAGCCCACAGGACTGCAAAGGTCCGGTCGCAGTAGACAGAGAGGTGAAGAAGGGAAGGGGTAGGAGGGACCAAAGATGGCTGCCACAAACAGAGTTCAAGGGACTTGAGATGGTTGAGGTCTAAAAGAGGAGACTGAACACCAAGTGTCTCAATGGCCATCCAATCCGCCAACTCAGACTCAAGAGCCTGCACGTACTCGCTCCTATATCCTGACAAGGATAGGGAAGAGAGTTGGGTGACTTTGGAGAGGGAGAGGATGAAGGAATGAAGAATCCCCAGTCTTCAGCTGTAATGTCGGATGGGATGGTGCCATCCTGGAGAGACACAGACAGGGAGGAGAGACGGGGAAGTTCGGAGAGGAGGGGAGTGAGTGTGGCAACACTGGGGAGAGTCGGGGAGGTCAAGGAGAGGGTAGTTAACTTGGAAATGAAGGAGATGTGGATGATGTGGAGGTTCTCTCCTGAGTTGAGAACCACAAGCTCAGAGAGACCTGGTGAGCTGCTGAAGAGGTTCTGGAGAACTGAATGGGGGATGAGATCGGGGTTTTCAGGAGTGATAAGAGACTTGATGTAGTGGCATGGAGGATAGGGAAGGTAGGGATGGATGGAAACGAGCCACTGCACCCATGCTAGAGCATCGGTTTTGTTTTTGTTGTACCACTCTTGAAGGTGGACGGTGGCCAATGCTGGGCGCATAGCAACTTCGTACATGGTCTTGGAGGTTTGTGCAACTTTGACAACAGAGGAGGGGGGAAGGTGGGTGCAGACAGCGTGAATAATGTCATGGTTGAGAGACATGGTGGATGATGACTGAGAAGAAGGCTGTAGGGCAGTGTGGTTGAGGTAGGAGGCAAGAGGGGTATAGGAGCCATAAAGAAAGTCAGCCTTACAGCCATTCTCACTTGGGTATCTCCCACCCTCCTCCTTCTCAATCTCCCACCCACTACCTTCCCCATCCTCTCATCCAACCGCCTCTCCAACAACCTCAGCATGCCCAGAGCTTCCCAAAAGATGCCCTGGGTCCTTCAATTCAATTTCAGGGCCACTGTTCAAGAATGCAGCACCAGTGGTCGTTCAGATAAGTCCTTGGCCCCCATTCTCTGGCATGCCCACCCCCATCACACCTCCCACAGTACAACCACACACCCTGACCATGTATAAGATACGGTGGGCATGTCCCCCACCCGTCCACGCCCTTCAGCCACATCCCACACTCAAAACGGGGCCTGACGGCCGTCCTCACACAGCGACACACTCCCTCCCACCCTCCTCTTCCTCCTCCCCACAGCCCTCGACCTCGCCCTCATGCCTCCCTCCCACCTCACCAACACCCTCAACACGCCGAGGACGTCCCAATGGACGTCCTCGGCCCCTCGATTCGTATCCCGGCGCCATGGTTCAAGACCGCGGCGCCGGTCGTCTCCTGGTAAGCCCTTGCCCCGTCCTCCTGCGCGCTGCCCAGCCCGTCCTCCCGCAGCGCGTCCGCACGCCCCGGCCGCTTACAAGACGCGGCGGGGCGTGTCCCCCGTCCCTCCTCGCCCATCTCCCGCGCCCCACGCTCAAAACAGGCGGCCCTACGGCCGTCCGCGCGGGCGCCTCTCTCCTCCTCCTCCTCCACCGTCTCCCGCCCTCCGACTTCCCCATCCCGCCGTCTGACCTCCTCCCCGACACCCTCAACGCGCCCAGGGCGTCCCAAAGGACGCCCTGGGCCCTTCGATTCGTATCCCGGCGCCTGTCGTCTGCTGGTGAGCCCCCAGCCCCGTCCCTCGTGCGCGCTGCCCCGTCCCTCCTCCCACAGCACGCCCGCACGCCCCGACCGCGTACAAGACGTGGTGGGGCGTGTCCCTCGTCCCTCCTCGCCCGTCGCCCTCGCCCCGCGCTCAAAACGGGCGGCCGTATGGCCGTCCGCGCGCGCGAGCTGCCCACCGTCCTCCTCCACCTCCTCGCCGCCCTCGACCTCGCCGTCCCGCCGTCCGACCTCCTCCCCGACACCCTCAACGCGCCCAGGGCGTCTCAAAGGACGCCCTGGGCCTCCCGATTCGTATCCCGGCGCCCGTGTCTCCCGGTAAGCCCCGTGCCCCGTCCTCCTGCGCGCTGCCCCGCCCGTCCTCCCACAGCGCGTCCGCACGCCCCGGCCGCTTAGAAGACGCGGCGGGGCGTGTCCCCTGTCCCTCCTCGCCCATCTCCCGCGCCCCACACTCAAAACGGGCGGCCCTACGGCCGTCCGCGTGGGCGCCTCTCTCCTCCTCCTCCTCCACCGTCTCCCGCCCTCCGACTTCCCCATCCCGCCGTCCGACCACCTCCCCGACACCCTCAACGCGCCGAGGACGTCCCAATGGACGTCCTCGGCCCTTCGATTCGCATCTCGACGCCGCGGTTCAAGACCGCGGCGCCGGTCGTTGTCCCAGTATGCCTCCTGCCCCTTCCCTAGTCTGTGCTGCCCATGCCCTCCTCCCACAGCATGCCCACATGCCTGTATGCATACAAGACATGTTGAGGCAGGTTCCTCATTGATCCTTTCTTTTCCCAAGTCTGGATACCCCCAAATGTTTTAGTTACTTTGTATGTAGGATACATTGCAAATGAAACTCATTCTTTCCCCTTGCCTTTGCCCTTGCCCTTGAGTCTGGTGGCTAGTCTCCCCTCAGCCCTCCAAACAGGCTGCAACTTCAACTTCTCCTCATTCTGCCGCTCACACTCTGACCACCCACACTCACACAACTCCCAAGGATCCAGTACAGTATTCCCATGCTTATCCTGGGCCTTCAGCTCATGGTGCTTGGGGTATTTGGCAAAAAACCCCTCTGGCTTGTCCTCCAGCCTAGTCACTGTGATGGCATTACGATTAATGAGGTACGAATGAATCGTTCTTTATGGGGTGGGCTCTGGCTGCGACGCGCGACACCCTTAACTCAACGCCGTGGGAATATATTTCAGACTCCGATTACTCTTGACTAGCACAGCCACTTCCCACGCATAGGTTTACTACTTACTCCCATCACCCTAGCTCTGGGTTAGGGTCCCCCTGTAGGGTTCCACTAGCGCTGGGTTTGCACTGCCACCTGGGCTCAGCGCTTCACTCCTTTCTACACTTTGTAGTGCCTGTTAGTGTCTATACCTATTCAACTAGACTGAGATGGGCGCTCTTTGTGGGCTTCAGTCAGACTCTATCTGGACTACTACTAGCAATATACTCAAGATTTATCGGAATTGATTCGAATTTTGAAGGGCTGATTTCAGAAAAGTGAGGCTTCCACAAGTTATTAGACGCCTAGTGGCTGTAGCGCCCTGCCCCTGCTCACTACACCCACATCTGCCTACTAGTAAATCAGATTAATTCCCTATAATGTTGATTATATTTGTGAACCTAGTCCACATAGGAGCCAGTGTAGATGTGAACAGAGTGCACATATCAATGCAGTGCTGAAAGGACTACAAGGTCTATGACATATGGTTCATATGTTGTAACTGTTGGTATGAGCTCAGATAATGTCCGTTTTGGATGGTTTTGGGTGCGTTCAATGCGCATTGATAAGAGGTATCTATTAGGTTATGTCACGTGATTCTGGAAGCAGATGCGATGGAATGGTTTGAGTAACACTCGTAGAACACTATATGTACAGTGTATGGCTAGTTATAAGCTGGTTTCTGATTCAATCACTACATATGTAGATGCATTATAAGACCTCTAAGAAGGGCCACCAGATGACATATGTCATGGTATGTCTGGTGCTTTTCACCTACCATATTGTAGCAACTACTGCTTTGTAGTGTTGACTGGGTTATAGCACTGTGCCTGAGAATATGCTTATGTAACATACACCATTCAAAAGCCACTTACGAGACGTACTTGTAACAGCTTGAATCATAAGAAACAGACAAGAAATGAATAATAGAGAGTGTAAGCAATGTTCCCATATACAGTTGCCTAATAAGGTGTGTGAGAAAACTGTTACATAAGCGCAAGCAGCCCACTCTCATCGCTCCTGCCACTGCTCCTCCTCTCTTGGGGGACTCTCATCCACCCTTCACCTCTGTAGCCTGGCTTTTGGCCAAAGTCAGTGCTTATGAGTGGGAGGATGCCCCCCCACAGTCCCTGTGCTCCTCTACCATGCCTACTCGGTGCACCGATTTAGAGCGGTGGTCTTGAGCCTGGGATGCCTGCGACATTGCCATTTTGGGTGGCCGGGTCGTTGGAGCACAGACCGAGTTCTGTGTGAGATGGATTCAGCTTTCTCTTCAACTCTCTGGTAAGCTTTGGGTGTCTGTGGGTGTCAGATAGGTATGCTTTCATGTATTTGCTCATCTCCATGGTACTTTGACGTCACTGTGCCTCCCTTCCCATGCCCCATCACTCTCAGAACACTGCCAGATTGCTCCCAGGTGTGTGCTCTTTCTATAGACCCCCCATTCATCCCCCACTTCGCATTTTTCATCCCCTTGTGCACATACTGATGGTATGGGTTAGCACAGCGCTCATGGGCGTCTATTTCAGAGGCGCCCATAGCGCTGCTACATCCACAAGCCTCACTTGCCATCCATCCCCTTCCCATGGTTGGATCTGCTTCATTTTTGGTAGGTAGGCACTAGTAGTCCTGCACACACAATCTATGTACTTTGTTTCATCATCTTGTGTCATTTGAGCCCATAACAACATGTTTAGAGCCTGGGACCAGCCACCTAGCCCACCTCAGCGCCTCTGGGCGCCTATTTTCGCTCTCAGCCACAGCTACTGCAAGCCACACCCAGCCACCTAAAATTGTCATCCACAAGCCCCAGCTGCAATCCACCCTCTTTTGGTGGGGCTGTGCTCCCCAATCTTTGTCAGCAGCCTCTCCCATGCCTCTCCACCATATATGGACACTGTTTGGCACTATTTACTCTCTCCTGCCCCTGCCACAGCTGTCACCGTGACTGAAAGTGCAGCTAGGTGCCTATTTTGAACGCTCTTTTCAAACTCAGCTCAGCTCAGCTAGTACAGCACCTGGGTGGGGGACCCAGGAGCCTTGGGTTCAATCCCTGGTAGTGCCGCTTTTTTCTGCATGTGGCTGTGCTATGCAGGCCTGGTTCTAACAATGGTTATTCAGGCTTTGTAAAATCCAATCAATTGCCTAAAATCCTGATTATATTCATGAAAGCAGCTACTATAGAGTGGGTTACTAATCTACTTACAGCTCGACTTTATATGCATTAGATGAGGCACACTGTAGACATTATCACTCATTCCTACCATTTTTAGATTGCTCCTGTGACCTCAGTTCTTATCTGTTTGGGGTGATTGTACATACATCAGAAAGCTATGCAGAAGGCCTATATGACTTCAACCTCTTTGTCCTCTCTAGTTCCCTCTTCAGGTGGTCTAGCAATGTAGAATGATAGTGTGTACTCTGTCACTGTAAAATCAAATACAGCACCTACAATCTTGACTATATTCAGAAGGGCAGCTATAACACAGGGTATTGTAACTGTATGGGCTTTGATCTGCATAGTAAGCACTTTAGTCCTAGCTTCTACAATGTTTGGACTCCTGCTATATGTTCTGTTCTTGTTTGTCTGTAATGATAGTAGTGGTGTTCAATATAGCCTATTAAGGTCTCTCATATCTTCTCATTATATCCCATATCTCATTAATTGTTTTCTGCCAGTAATGGCCCACTCCTACCAAGTGAGAGAAGAAAACCAAGGCAACTCGGCCCCCAGAGAACCACTCAGGGCACTGGACATTGGGACCATTCTCAGGGCTGAGATCTTGGCCTAGAGCATGCCTAGCAATTTTCCAGTCCCGAACCTTGTGGGCAAATTTGCAGTCCCAGCCAAGGATAATGTCTCCAGCACGGTACCTGCCCAACTCAGATTAGTGTTTGCTAATCTCAAAAGAAATGCACAAACTGAAACACTGCCCCAAGGGCAGGGAACTCCATCTCGCCATTATGGAAGAAACCAAGGGGAATAGTGAGAGTAGGCCCAATGTCACCATGGTCGAAGTGGAGGTCGAGAGGGAGTTTCCAGACAAGGGCACGTCCAAGCCAAGGTCCAGGGTCATGAGGGATCCAGCTCCCTGCATCAAACGCCTTCTGGTAGCGTTGATAGAGATCAGGATAGAAGACCTCAAACAGAGCACCAAAGTGCGCGGCAAAGGGAGCAGAGAGGGTCTAGAACTTCTTTGTCACCTCAAGTCTATCAGACTTGGGGTTTTTGGGTGTCTTGAGATCGTTCTTGACTCCAATATCACTGCTTGGAGTCATTGTCTGCACAGTGTTAGCTCTAACCAAAGTACCACAGAGGCAGACTCACAAAGTGAGAATCCCCTTGCTGGGTCCAGCAATGAATGAGATGGCCCACTCCGGATCTCTCATTGCTCTTCTTCTCCCGTTTGCCTCGTTGGTATCGAAAGAGGTGAGTGTTGATGTCTTCTCGATCCCCCTCGTGACGACGATCCTTTTCAGGAAGGACAGGCTGAACATGGGAGGTGTAAAACTGACAGACTGCCAGCAACCTCATCTGCTCATCAAACTAGAACAAAATCAGACAAGCAGAAGACATAGACAAGAGCAGCTCACAGTGAGAGCATCGTTCTGGATAGAGACACCCTTATTTCTCAGAATATCAACATCCCTCTTCGTGCGCCCTTCATAGAGTGATTCAATAGGGTGAGGAGTATCCCCAGGTGTGTCCTGCCCAGATAGATGAGAAACATATAGAGTAGCACATTGAAAACTCACAGTCTCAGGGCGCCTACCAAGATAGTAGAGCACCCGCTGCCCCTCCGAGTCTTCAATGATGGTGGTGCAGTCAACAGACTTCTTTGGCTTGATCTTCTCCCACTCTGCATCCATGTCAGCCAACTTCTCCTTCTTGGTGGTAGAGCTAGGATAGAGCCTCATTGGCTTTGGAAGCTGGAAGACAGGAGCATTGTCCAAGACTTCGTGGGCTTTAGCTCGACCTCGGGCTGCCCACTCCAAGACCTCCACTTCATCATAGACGATGTGGGCAGGGTCTATGACAGAAGATGGGAGTTCATTGACCTGGTGCTGGGGCAGGAATTTCTTGAAGGGCTTGAGATGCAAGAAACACACCCAAAAAGTAGTACTCACTGGTCTGGCAGGCTTAGCAGGCCTAGCAGGCCTAGCAGGCTTAACAGGCTCAGCAGGCTCAGCAGGCTTAGCAGGAGGCTGAGCAGGGCCAGGAGTCTATAGCTGTTTAGGGGGAATGTGCTGAAAAGAAGCCAAGTACTCACATAGTCTTTATCATCATCATCATCCTCATCCTCATCATCCCCATCTACCCAATCCTCCACTCTAACCCTCTTGGAAGCCTGGGGAGGAGCAGAAGTCTGCAGCTAGTGAGTGAGTGCATGGAGAGAGAGTGCAAGATACTCACAAAGACACCTCCTATGTTCTCCTGCTGATCCAGATCCAAGTAGTCCAAGGAGGGCCTAGAGTGCTTAGGAGCCATAATGAGGGCAGATTGGTGTGCAGAGAAGAGCTAAGAGGAGATGTAGAGGCTGGATGGTGGTGGTAGGACAGAGAGATGGGCAGAGATAAGGTCCTGCAGCTCTACGCCCGTTTAAGCGCCCGTAAGCGCCCGTAAGAGCGCACTTCTCTAGCTGGCTTGCAGAACAGGAAGAAGACCACGAAATCAGACGATATTTGGCATGTGAGTACATCCAGACAATAGAAGTCGAATACGTCTTGTTTTATGTCAAACAACCCAAAACTGACAGAGATAGAGCATGTACAACATCTCACTCAGTCAACTTCGCCCAGATTTCGAGAATTTTAACAGGGCGACAAAACTATGCACAAATGAGCAAGTATATACGCCCAGACCGTCGAAATCCAATGCACTTTGTTTGGTCCAAATCGGACGAAAAATGACTGAGATACAGCGTATATAACACCTCATTCGGTTCACTTGGCCAGAAATCGAAACCGTCATACTGGCATATTAGACAGCGCACTTGGGCGCGATAGGTGCGCATTGAAGCACACATTATGACGCAGCAAAGTTGGAGAGATGCGTTCAAGAACTGCCTGAGATATAGCAACTGCAATGAACGCACGGGCCAAGTCGGTGGGAAATCGAAACAAGTGTACCAGAACATTAGACAGCGCACTTAGGCGTTTTAGATGCGCATTAAAACATACATTAGGACGCACCAGGTTTCGTGAGATGCGTCCAAGAACTGCTTGAGATATAACAACTTCAATATACGTATGGGCAGAGTCGGTCAGATTTCCAGCATGGGAACAACTTGAAGGAACACAGTGAGATTTGGCATCTGGGTGTACATGGAATACCCCATTATAATAGATGAGTATAACACATTCACAATCACCTAAAACGCGCACTGTCTGAGCTCATACCATCAGTTACAACATATGGAATGTATGTTGTATACCCTTCTGCACCCCACCCACTATGTATAAATGAGCACCTCTTTCATAATCGTACCAACCACTATGAGGACTAGCTTCACTAATATAATCAGCATTTTAGGGAATTGATCTGATTTACTAGTAGTCAGATGTGGGTGTAGTGAGCAGGCGCAGGGCGCTACAGCCACTGGGCATCTAATAACTTGCGGAAGCCTCACTTTTCTGAAATCAGCCCTTCAAAAATTGAATCAATTCTGATAAATCTTGAGTATATTGCTAGTAGTAGTCCACATAGAGTCTGACTGAAGCCCATAAAGAGCGCCCATCTCAGTCTAGTTGAATAGGTATAGACACTAACAGGCACTACACAGTGGAATAAGGAGTGAAGCGCTAGGCCCAGGTGGCAGTGCAAACCCAGCGCTAGTGGAACCCTACAGGGGGACCCTAACCCAGAGCTAGGGTGATGGGAGTAAGTAGTAAACCTATGCGTGGGAAGTGGCTGTGCTAGTCAAGAGTAATCGGAGTCTGGAATATATTCCCACGGCGTTGAGTTAAGGGTGTCGCGCGTCACAGCCAGAGCCCACCCCATAAAGAACGATTCATTCGTACCTCATTAATCGTAAAGGTAGAGACGAAGATGCGAGATGGTGCCCTGTGCGAACTCTCAAGATCTCAAGCCTCAAGGAACGCGTCTCGTCGCGTCTGTCATGTGATGACTAGACCACCCGGAAAGTTGTTCGCTGAATATCTCAGCTACGCCAGACCTGATTCACACCAAACTTTGCAAGAGTGCAGAATCACATCCTAGAAACATGTTTTGATTGTTGTAAATGCAATACGTACATGTGTGTGCGGTGGAGGAGGGGATTAGAGGAGCCACCGTCCTGTTGGAGTCTAAGCGCCAAAAGTTACATTTGTTCTTGTTTGGCTCCCCTGTTCACGCCCTAAACACTGAATTGCTCACTGCGCTCGCAACAATGTGATAGATATTCAAGAGTGTGGCAGCCACCAGTCAGTATACACCTGCCTGTCCTGGGGTTCTACACTTCAAGGCACTCTGATTGTACGACCTTTTGATCCTAGCAAAATAACTGGAACCATCAGTGGTCGGCTGAGACAAGAGTTTAGAGAGCTGGAACTGCTGGATAATATTACCAAACTCAGATGGGAAGACAAACTCTCACCAGAGGTCACTGGCATCACTAGAAATGAGCTCATCTACTCGTTCAGAAAGTGGAAGGGAGAAGACTATGTGCCAAAAACAGTGCACAAGTCTCTGAAGTGGGGTACAAATAGCAGGTTTGATATGGAAGATGTCACAGAGGATGCAGGCTGGCAGATTGTTTCTGGAAAAAATGATCTGTTAAGAGCTGAAAAGACAGCACCTACAGATGAGTTTCCAAATAGAAACAAGGTGCTCCAGTATGTGGTAGCCAAGGGAAGCCAGGCCTTTGCCTGCAGTGAGCACTTTTGTGGGAAAGCCTTCTGGGAAGCGCAAAGCCTCTGATAATGCTGAAAGCTCTACCAAGCGACCTAGAACCACCAATCTCTCTGCTGGCTGCCCTTTCAATGGTCTTCCCTGGGACAGTGTCAACTATAGCTGTGCCTATGACAGCATTCTGACCATACTAATGGCTGTGCACAAAGAGAATGCAAATGTATGGAACGAGCACATTGCACCTAAAAGTGTCCTGCTTCAAACTGCTGGAGAGTTGTTTGATCAAGTAAACTCTGGCTGCCTTACTCCTTGACTTGCCCATGACCAAATCAGAGATATACTTGGTGCTTTGGATGACAGTTTGGGTTGCAAAGGCTCTGAAGGCATTGATGGATATCTACTAGCAAGGCACTTGTTTACTCCAGATATCCCTAGACTGCAGATGGAATACAGCTGCACCCAGTGTGAGTACACTAAGGCTGTTCGCGGGTCCAGCTCACTTCGCGGGTCATGAGCCAATTATCCGGAGCCGTGAGCCGGGGATCATGAGCCGGGCGGCTCCAGCTCATTGCGGCTCCGGGTCCTGGCGGCTCCGGATCAAGGCAGCTGAAAACTGGCGGATCTGCGGCTCTATCCGCGGGTTATCCGCAGATTCTTAAGCAATAGCTCATATTTGTGCTTACCTACTACGAAATTTGTATCCTTCGAAAGCCAATCGAAGCGCCTTTCTAACGGTACCATTCGCGTGCGATTTGGCGGGAATGTGACCGAGATATTGGTACATTACTCTCTCCTTTCACTTCGAGCGCTTTTGGCGCCCGCATCCGGCGTTTGCCCGCGGGAATCTGTCTCGATCGGGCAGTGTTCAGATTCGAACGCGCGCACACGCGTCTTGCACGTCCTCCTCTCCAGCCCCCCACGCTCGCCGCTCCCCCTCCTCCTCCCTCCATCCTCCATCCACGCCGCGTGATCGCGCGTGTGCACGTGTCTGTCCTCAAGCCCAGGAATGACGTCGTGGGGTCGCGGTGAGCTCCCGCGGCCCCGATCTTCTTTGATGAGTTCTACCCTCCGCTCCCCGTGTCCTCGCCCACCTTACCCTCGTCCTCCGCCGCGTCCCGGCCCTCCGCTGCCACACCCTCGTCCTCCGCCTCGCCCTCATCCGCCGCCTCGCCTTCGCCTATCCCGCCTCACCCTCGTCTGCGTCGTTCACGCCACCCGCCCGCGTCACCCACGGCGGCCCTCGCTTGTGTCACCCAGCACGCCCTTGCCCGCCCTTGCCCGCCCTTGCCCCCCACGTCGCCCAAGTCCCCCGCCTGCCCCGCGTCGCCCTACTCTCAGCCGTTCACGCGGGGTCATCGCGCTCGCGGACGTTCCGTGAGGTCGCGGTGAGCTCCCACGGCCCTGATATCCCCTGGTGAGTCCCTCCAGGTCCCTCCCCGCCCCCACTTCTCCCCTGCGTCGCCTCCCCCTCCCAGGTTCTGGCCTCGTCGGCGACGCTCTCGCCTCAATCGCCTTCGCTGGCGTCGTGGGTGTCGTTCCCCCACTCCGTCCATCTCGCGCACCCGCCTCGCGCCCATCTCGCCCACGTCGCCTACCTTGCCCTCGCCCGCGTCACCCATGTCGCCCTCGCCCGCATCGCCCTCATCGCCTGCGTCGCCCTCGCTTACATCGCCCTCGCCCTCGCCCTCGCCCTCGTCTGCGCCCGCGTTGCCTCATCTTGCCCCCGCGTCGCCGTCCTCCGCTCGTCCTCGTCCGAATCAATATGGCCCTCTCCCGCCTCCCCTGCGTTGCCGCATCGCCCGCGTCTCGCCGTCTCGCCCACGTAGCCGTCATCCGCGTCGTCCTCGCCCACATCACCCGCCGCACCCTCGTCCACCTCGCAGCGCCCGCGTCGTGCCCGTGTCGTGCCCGCGTTACCCGCCTTGCCCGCCTTGCCCCGCGCCCGCGCCCGCGTCATCTGCCTTGCCCTCGCCTTGCCTCCGTGTCGCCCTGGCCGTGTCGCCCTCGCCCTCTGGCTCCCACACGCGTCGACCACCACCTCGATTCCCGCATCTCCTTCCTCCACCTCTGCGTCACCCCCATCCGCGTTGCCCTCAGTCCCGCACGTTGCCGACGTCGCCCGCATCGTCTGCCATCCACCTCGCCCACCTTGCCTAAGTGTCCCGCAACTCCCGCCTCTCCCACTTCGCCCGCGTCTCGCCCGCGTCTCTCGCGCATCTCTTTCGCTTGCGCCTATCTTGCCTGTGCCACACACGTCGCCGGGTTGTCCGCGTCATCCACATTTCGCCCCCACGTCGCCTATCTCACCTCCATGTCGCCTGTGTTGCCCACGCGGCACCTGCATCATCCGCGTCTTGCCCTCGTCCTCACCCAGACTGTACTCGCCATCTCGCCACAAATGTAACCGTCCACACATGCTCGCTGCCGTGCTCTCGCTCTCCCCTCCTCTCCGCCACCACCGTGCCCTCGCCTCGCAGTGCCCTCTCCACTTATACGTACCCACTCTGTGCCTTCAGCGATGTGTCACATCGCGTAGCGCCTGCGCCTGTCTCCTTCCGCGTCTATCCACCTCTCTCCTCCGCGTTCGCACACCCTGCACCCTTCCTCCTCCGCGACACCCTCGGACATCCTGTCCCATGGTGCTCATCACCTCATCAGGTGTTCCGCATCTCACTCGTAAGGAAAGTTCTCACTCTGGGCCCGGTGTCCTCTGTATTTAGTATAACATGAAATATATTTTTGTGTCCTTTATATCTGTGTGATCCGTATCTGTGGATATCCACGGATCATCATGGCTTTGCGGGTCTATCCGTGGGTGGAGCCGTAATCCGCGGTTCCGGCTCCTGCGGCTCCGGCTCTTCCAGCGGCTCTGAGCCGCGCGGATCCAGATCAAGCCCTCAGATGTCACATGATCCGTGGGTTCGGCTCCGGATCATCCGCGGGTAGAGCCGCGAACAGCCTTAGAGTACACTTCTGCCTGGATTAAATGCAATGCAAGCAACCTTCAATACACCACCAAAGAATCCTCCTGGGTGTTTTCTATGGATCACAGAAGAGAACACCCTAAAGGCATGGGTCTTCATCGAAAGCTGTCAGTCTCAGAGTGGCTGTCTGTGTCTATGGAACAGAGTTCAGACAGAGTTTGTTTAGAGTGTGATGCTGCTGTGTATAAAAACTATAGCTATCTAGACCATGGATCACCCTTTTTGTATCTGATTCCTAGACTAATTAATGTGAATATGGAAACAGAAATCAAGCTGCCTGATGGGGAGAGGTACAGGCTTTGTGGAGTTGTTTATTATGATAACAATCACTTTACAGCCAGAGTAGTGGATAAATCAGGTGAAATCTGGTATCATGATGGTATCAAACCTGGAGACAAGCTCAAGTATGAGAAGAATGTGCTGCATATTAGCAATACTGGGTGGCTGAAGGCTAGGAATTTCAGAGCCACTGCCCTTGTGTATATTAAGCAGTTTTGATTCATGGCATTTGTTGTACATAGCCTTATCACTATGGCCTTACTTACAGTCATGTGCAAAGTTACAAGTTCCACCTTACTTTGTAACCCATACAAGGGTGTTACCCAGTTCAAAGTGATTGATCCCACTCGAAGGTGTTCAAACCCACTGGTCCAGGTGTACTTACTAGCACGTTCAAAGCTACAAGTCTAGCCTTACTTACTCCTGGGTTCAAAGCTGTTACTAGTGCCCGTTCCGGCCTTACTTACTGCATATTTCAAAGTTGTTACTCTGCTCTTACTTTACGATTAATGAGGTACAAATGAATTGTTCTTTATGGGGTGGGCTCTGGCTGCGATGCGCGACACCCTTAAAATGCTAGTTGTGGGAGTATTTTTCAGATTCCGCTTACCTCTCAATAGCACAGCCACCTCCCATGCATAGGATTTCTACTTACTGCCATCACCCTACTCCGGGGTTAGGGTTGCTCTCTAGGGTTCCAATAGCCGCTGGGTTTGCACTGCCACCTCTGGCCTATGCAGTTCCGGTCTGTATGCTCTAAGGCTGATGTTATTGCCTACTATTGATAGTACCTATGCTGTGTAGTCATTCTAGTAACCTACTAGTACTGTTACCTATGTGTAGTTACCTACTAGTGTTATTATCTATGCTCTATAGTGAGTCTAGTTGCCTATAACTGTCTCCACCTGCACTTTAGAGTACTACTGTTGCCTCTAGACTGGAGTTGCTTAACATGCTAATGTCTTGTATGCTGGACTAAGATAGACACTCTATAGTTCTTATTATTGCCTACTACTAACACTGTATAGTAGCTATAGTTACCTGCTAGTATGGAAGTTGCTCGTCTAGAGCTACTCCAGCCTTGCCTACTGCTCTATTATAGGTTGCTACAGTGTTCAAAGTCAGTACTCTAGACATCATTTACTAGTTTCTGCAAAGCCACTAATCCAGTATCACACAATGCCCTATTGGAAGTTGCTCAAAGTTGCTACTCCAGTCTTACTTATTATCCTGTTTGAAGTTACTAGTCCAGTGTCTAATGTTGCATGTCTATTAATCTGGCCTTACCGGTCTATTCAAAGGTACAATGCACTGCCCTATTCAAACTTACCAGTCTAGCCTTACTACTCTAGGCAGGATCTGCTAGCACCCTGCCCTAAAGTATACATATGACTAGCAACTATTGAACACTTGAGAGGTATTTAGATGCTTACTATGCTATTTGGACTGACTATTACATGACAAGTTACTAGTCTAGATTGTTGAAGCTTAGTAGTCCAGTAGTACTTGCAACCATGTTTATCGCTTTACTAGAGCAGTCCTTACTTAATAGTGGTTATTGTTACCTACTACTGCTGCAGTCTATGGCTATAGTTGCCTACCTAGACAGTACTTACCACATTGTTCAAAGTTACTAATCAGGTCTTACTTACTTTCTTACTAGTGCTACTGGTCTGGCTTTACTTACTGCCCTTCAAACTCACTAGTCCAGGCTTACTTGATACTGTGTTTGAAGCTATTACTAGTCAGTTACCACCCTGTTCAAAGTTACCAGTCCTACCTTACTTACCACATTCTTTAGAGGCACTGTTTTTACTTACTAGTCTATTCAAAGTCCCTAGTCCGGAGTTTTGCTTATCACCTTATTCCAAGTTACTAGTCCAGCCTTACTTACAGGTCAGTCCACAGTTCTAGTCTGGGCTTACTTACTACACTGTACAAAGTCACTAGTCCGGGTTTTTACTTACCACCTTATTCAAAGTCACTAGCATGGCTTTACTTACCATTCTTCAAACATACTCATTGAGGCTTATTTGCTACCCAATTCAAAGCAACTAATCTAGGCTTACTGACTGCCATTCAATGTTGTGTTCAAACTTACTAGTCTTGGCATTGTTCAAAGTCTCACTAGTCCGGAGTTTTACTTACCACCTTATTCTTACCGGTCTAGCATTACTTACTGGTCATTTCACAGCTCTAGTCTGGGCTTACTCACTACACTGTTCAACCTCACTAGTGCACCCTTACTTACCACATTGTTCAAAGTCTACTCCAGGTTTTTACTTACTAGACTATTCAAAGTCACTATCCTGGCTTTACTTACTATCCTTCAACATACTTGTTCAGGCTTACTTACTTACCCCATTCAAAGCAACTAGTGTAGGCTTAGTTGTTGCATCATTCAAAGTTGCTAGTCTGGCTACTCCAGGCTGACTTACTGCCTCATTCAAAGGGTTACTGGCTATGCTTACAATCCCGTTCAAAGTTACTAGTCTCGCTTTACTTACTATTCTTCAAACTGACTGGTTCAAGGCTGCTATGGTGTTCAAAGTTAATAGTCAGACATTACTTACTGCTCTATTCAAAGTCACTCATCTGGCCTTACTTACTGCTTGTTCAAGCTTACTAGTTTGGCTTTACTTCATACTTGTTCAGGCTTACTTACTGCCTGTTCAAAGCTGCTAATCTGGTCTTACTTACTGGTCCTAAAGTTACTAGTGAGGCTTTACTTACTGTCTAGTCCAAGCTTACTAGTCCAGCCTTACTTACTACTCATAGTCAGACCACCAAGTCCTTAGCTGACCTGCCCTAAAGTAGATAGAGACAACTGAACTGCACACTTGAATCAGACCAGTTGAATAACCCAGAGAAGCAATCATTCCATACAAAGCAAACACAAAGTAGCTAAAATACAACACATAAGCATCATTCTAACCCTTCCCGGACTTGGACCAGTGCACACCAGTGCAGGTTCCCCAGAGGGAGAAACAACCAAGGTGTAAAGAAATAAAGTCAGTACAGCTCTATACAGCTTCATATCTGCTCAAGGGCTAGAGTCCCTCTTTCTACCCTGTCGTTCGCAACTCAACAGTGCAGAAAGAAACACTCTAGCCCCCATAATGCGCAATATAAGAGCAAAAAACACACAAACTGACCATCAATACACCTCCAGTAAGCACTTCTAGTAGAAAGCTGGCCAATGAACAGCTTTTAAATAGAGAAAAGCAACAAAGCAACAAGAGAAACCATGGCATAGATGCCAGGTTCCATAGTTCTCAGCATCCAAAGATGTAGAGAAACCATGGGCTGTACTCCTTCATCCCCCATCCAGTCTTCCCGCTAATGCATGGTAGGAGGACAGTAGGACACACAATGAGAGGTCTAGCTATGACATCAAAGTGATGATTCAGAGACAGAGGAAACCCAAAGGTAATCCCAGGGAACTCACCCGGAGGTGAGGTGCCTTGACCCGGAGGTCGTAGGGGTGAGAGGCGTCCCTGCTCAACCCCAGGTTACTCACTTACTAGGCAGCATATACTCAGCTTGCACCTTTCTAAATGCCGCTTTTCGACTTTCCCCTACATAGTAGGCAAGAGCATCTGGGTGGCAGTGCACAGGCCTGTCCCACCAGAGGCATGAAAAGTGGTGTCCACAATATCGCGTTTTTGCACAGCCACAGCCTACACACCCAAAAGTATTTGCACACCACCTGCCCCCCAGCCCAAGATGTGTGCTGGAGTGAATTGAGATCAATGCAGAAGAAGCATACAAATTGAGTAGTACTTGTTTCAAGCCAAGGCCTCTAATGGTCATGTCCATGGATCATGATTGATGCAAAAAAGGCTAAATGCCATGCATGTACACTTTGTGAAACTCATGCCCAAGCACCACTGCAGCTCTAAAAACCTACCCTAGACCTTGTCTAAGTCACTACTAACAGTGTACATTGGTTTCTGGGTGCAAGTATGGGGTTTTAAAGGTTTCATTCTCACACAAAGCCAACTAGAGTACATGTTTCATCTTGGTAGAGAACTGTTCAGCTGTGTAGCCAACTAGTAAGTGTTTAACAGAGTGGTAGCAGCTGACTGGACACGGTTTTGACAACAGGGTCAAACACTTTGAAGGAGCCAGTAAGTGCTGCCTGGAGGGGTAAGTAAGACTAAACTAACACCTTTGAATGGGATAGTATGTAAGCACAGATGAGTATGTTTGAAGAATGGTAAGGAAAGCCATGCTAGTGACTTTGAATAAGGTGGTAAGTAAAAACCCGGACTAGTGACTTTGTACAGTGTAGTAAGTAAGCCCAGACTAGAACTGTGGACTGACCTGTAAGTAAGGCTGGACTAGTAACTTGGAATAAGGTGATAAGCAAAACTCCGAACTAGGGACTTTGAATAGACTAGTAAGTAAAAACAGTGCCTCTAAAGAATGTGGTAAGTAAGGTAGGACTGGTAACTTTGAACAGGGTGGTAACTGACTAGTAATAGCTTCAAACACAGTATCAAGTAAGCCTGGACTAGTGAGTTTGAAGGGCAGTAAGTAAAACAGGACTAGTGACACTAGTAAGTGAGGCTGGACTATTAAGTTTGAATGCTGTAGCACCTTTGAATGGGACGGTAAGTAACACCTGATTAGTGACTTTAAAGGGCAGCAAGTAACACCCAGTAAACTAGTGAGTATAGTGACTTTGAACATTGTAGCAAACAACTAATAAGTGTGCAATAGGGCAGTAGTAACTGAGTGAATAGGGTTTCAATAACAGTAGGGAGGGGACAGTCAGTACTGCCTAGAGGAGTAAGTAAGGCCAGGCTAGTAACATTGAACATGGTAGTAAGTGAACCCAGACTATAGTGACTTGGAATAAGGTGTTAAGTAAACCCGGACTAGTGACTTTAACCATAGTAGCAACTATTGACAGGTTGGTAAATAAGGGTGGACTAGTAACAACTTTGAACAGCTTAGTAAGTAAAGCCAGACTAGTAACTTTGGATCAGGTGACAAGCAAAACTCCGGACTAGACTAGTAAATGAAAACCCGGAGTAGACTTTGAACAATGTGGTAAGTGAGACAAGACTAGTAACTTTGAATGTGGTAGTAAGTAAGGCCAGACCACCAACCGGAATGCAGTGGTACATAAGGCAAGAGTTGACTTATTAAGGTGGTAAATAGAAATCCGGAGTAGTGACATTGAATGGCCTAGTAAGTAAATCTGGACTTGAAGGTTTGAATGAACTAGTGAGTAAAGCCAGACTAGTAGGTTTGAACATAGTAGCAACTTTGAATGAGCTAGTAAATAAAGCCCAACTAGTAGACTAGTAAGTCTAAATAAAGCAGTAAGTGAGGCCAGAGTACTGGCTTTGAATGTGGTAGCAACTTTGTAGGGGTGAGTAACTAATAAAGGGGCACAAGTTAGTGGTCAATAAGCCTGGACTAGTCACTTTGAAGGGCAGTAAGTATGTTGTACTAGTAACTGTGAATAGACTAGTGACTTTGAACATGATAACAGAGTAGTGAGCAAAGCCAGACTAGTAAATTTGAACAATGTGGTGAGTACTGTCCAAGCAGCCAACTTTGATACTAGTGGGCAACTACATTTAACATAGAACATAGTCAGTAGCAATAGTGAGAGACAATCACTGCAAAGTGCCAGTTTTGATTTAGTATGTTGGTAAGGACAGTTGTAGACAACTACAACTACTATAATAGTGAATGGTGCAGTTCAGTTGTCTCTGGTGTGGTTTATATGAAATGTTGTAGTAAAGGGCTCCTATACTTCTTGAGTGTTCCCCCCAACCTTTATCAGTAGGTTCTTTCATGCCTCTCTACCGTATATGGACACTATCTGCCACTAATTGCCCCCTCCTACTGATGACACAGCAGCTATAGTGGCTAAAAGTGTATTTCGAACTCAGCCCAGCTCAGCTAGTACCGCTTCCTTAGTAACTGAGTAAGAAATACAGAAGCCTTGGGTTCAATCCCTGTTAGTGGCACTTTTTCTGAATGTGACTGTGCTATGCACACCTGGGTATTCAGGTTTTTTAAAATCCAATACATTGCCTAAATTCCTGATTATATTTACATAAGAAGGGACTATAGAGTGTGATACGAATATACTTATGGCTTATATTTAAATGCATTATATGAGACTCAGTTTATATATAATCACTGGGGGCTACTAACTTTAGATGGCTCCTGCAATATCAGTTCTTATCTGTTTCTGATAATTGTATATGCATTGGAAAGCTGTGCAGAAGGCCTATATGCCTGCAACCCCTTTGTTAACCCTGGTTTCCCTACCAGTGGTCTGCTTCTGTAAATTCAAATACATCACCTAACATCTCAACTATATTCAGATGGGCAGCTACAACACAGTGGGTCCTAAATGTTTCATTGTGATGGACATAGTGGGACTTTTGGAACACTCTTGCTATATGTTGTATTAATATCTGTTGTAGTGACTGTAGTGATGTTTGAAATATTGCTCAATATAGTTTATCTGGCTTCTCTTTATTTTTCATATCTCATTAATCATTTGCTGCCAATAATGGCCCACTCCTACCAAGTTCAGGTTTGTGCTGTGTTCCTTCGCTGCCCTTCTGTGCTGATTATTTTCCCTCCATGTCCAGGTTCGATATCAGACAGTTGTGCTGGCACTGGGGAGCGGGTCAAACCATGGACAATGATCAATGTATGTGTATGCTGCCTGTCTGCGTGTGCCTTGCTGATATATTCTTGGTCAAAACAGGGCTCATGTCTCTTCTCGTGTGAATGCCATCCGGCCACCATGTAGAGTGCACTCAACAGTGGTCACTGCTGCGCTAGGTGCCTGTGTATCAAAGTAAGTTGTTGTCTACTTGGTAGGAGTGGGCCATTACTAGCAGAAAACGATTAATGAGATATGGGATATAATGAGAAGATATGGCAGACCTTAATAAGCTATATTAAACACCACTACTATCATTACAGACAAATAAGAACAGAATATATAGCAGAAGTGCAAACATTGTGAAAGCTAGTACTAAAGTGCTTACTATGCAGATCAAAGCCCATACAGTTACAATACCCTGTGTTATAGCTGCCCTTCTGAATATAGTCAAGATTGTAGGTGCTGTATTTGATTTTACAGTGGCAGAGCATTCTACATTGCTAGACCACCTGAAGAGGGAACTAGAGAGGACAAAGAGGTTTCAGTCATATAGGCCTTCTGCATAGCTTTCTGATGCATATACAATCACCCCAAACAGATAAGAACTGAGGTCACAAGAGCTCTGTAAAGTTAGTAGACCCATGACTTGATCGGGAGCAGTTGTGATTAGGGCCAGGTCAATGTCATTGGCAATATTGTTGCATCAGAGGTCGCTGACCAACTTGGTATTGGTCATTGGCAGGTCTAACAAAGCTAGCACATGATGAGATGGTATGGTGCTGAACAAGCAGGGCTCACACAGCGATCCCTCTACTCCCTGCCCCCTGCCTTGCCACCTTGCCTGAATCTGCCATAATGCCTGTCCACTTGTTTGAGCAGTTGAAGGTCAGCAGTCTTCTGAAGTTGCAACCAGCTGCATGCTGAAATTTCCATTTAGAACAATGCTAATTGTGTAGAGGTGCAAGACACCGTTTGGGGATGGCTCCCAGATTGATCACAAGTGTGTTCATCTTCCTGGACCGGCCATGGAATTGTCTTCAATTCCAAAATTTTTGACATACACCGACCTCGCCCTCCCCACCCAGGTCATTGTATGGTGTGGCGCCTACAACAATTCACAGATGATCCTCGAGAACAGCCTTGCAGCCATCCTACATGCCATCACAGTCATGAACCTTGTGCAAATCAATGTTCAAGTGCTTTGCAATAGAATAATAGTTGTCACCAGCAACTTGATGACCCACTACACAACAGCCATTCTCTGTCAGGAATGGTCTTTGCTCAGCGCGGATCAAGTTGTGGGGGAGCCCATTGTCATACACGATGTTAGGTGGTGTTTGTCTGCCGAGAGGTTTATTGTGACAGATCAAACAGTGCATAGAGAGCTCTTAAACACTCACAGTTTCTTATCAAAACACAGATTGTTACGCTTGATCACTGTCTTGAACGCATCTTTCAGGAGAACCCGTTAACGACCGTCATTGTGGAGTGCGGAAACACTGTTGCTTGGATTGTCACGTTCCTTAGCCACCAGCCTTACTGGAGAGAGGGTTGCGGTCCTCTTCTACCCCACCGAAGGCTTTCACCGATTGGAGAACAACGCCATAGTGGCTGGTGCTGTTTCTGATTTGCACAACTGTGTCTGGTTGGTGCCCTGCATCGATCAGGAGGCCCTAACCATATTCACCAAGCAATATCCTTAGAGAGGCCCTAATAGACCATTCGATCATGACTACCTGAATCACGTTGGCCAACTTCTTGTCTTGGAATTCCTGCGGTTCGGTCTCAGGATTGCGGCCATGTTCCTCCCTATTACCAGTGATGAGACCCATCAGCTCCATGGAGACCAGGTAATCATGTCTAAAAGTGTCAAAGTGACCGGTCCCAATGTTCAGCTCGAGTTCATTGAAGAGCACGTTTTTCGTTGATTGAGCAACTACATGCATCATACCCTACACCTCCCAATTGGTTGCGCGCACTCCGAGGATTTTTGGGTTGTCAACACAAGATATTTATTTGATGCAGCTGGTGCCTTATTTCTCTGGCCAGAGAACGAGTCACTATCTGTTTGAGGCTCAAGCAGCGATAGGGAGTACAGCCCAGCACTGCAACTGGGTGATTGTGGATCGCTGGGCAGACGAACTTGGAGACACTGCAGTCGCTGACACCTTGCGGCCGGCCATTGTGGTGCCAGGTGGGGAACCATGGCAACTAGGCACAGTTGTTCAAATTCTGCAGGAGACAGCAGAGGACTGGGACCTTGGTGACAGCTGGGAGTCAGAGGGTGAGGATTCGTATTTGTGAGAGGCTGTGTTGTCGGGCAACAACAGCTGGGCGCGATGGGTCATGGAAGGTGAACGGGACGTCACCTCCCACAAAACGGCACTAGAGTGTGTGAAGGTCATCGATGGGGCAATCCGAGATGAAGATGTCGAAAGTCTTCCACACGATGCCCAAGGTGCATTAAGCGAGCGTAACGAGCCCACCATCACCCCCTTCGAGGGGTTGGATTCCGTCGTCCTCAGTGACGTAGTTGTATTCACCATTGAGATCATGCTCATACAACTGAGTGAAACCAATGGTAGTGCAGAAGTTCTTGACCATCTTGGCCACCCTGATGAGGACCTCCTTGGCCACCCTGATGAGGACCTCGTTCGCTGCGAGTAAGCGACAGTGCTTGGCTGATAAGACCCACCGATTGGTCGCTGGCACATCGGCCAGCGGCAAAACAGTCACCAGCACACCAACCTCGTACTTCCTGAATATGAGTGGTAAGTGAATGGTGTCCAACCTAATGGTGAAGATTGTGAGCCCAGAGGTTAGAAGATGGTTGATTGCGTTCAAGACACTTGCTTTAGTGATATCCATGCTGAAGAGCAGGTCTCCGTGCGTGGGGATTGTCTGGCAAATCATGCATGTGTTGAAGGAGAGAAGAAGGTGAATGGGGTTTTCCCATCCAGGGGCCCAACCCACGTTGGCGGTGTAGTGACGAAAAATTTTGATCCTGCTCTGAGCCCGGGCCCCCACCTTGACCAGAACCACAGTCTTCTTGTCGAATTTGCGTTTGCTCACCCACGAGACCAGAGACAACGCACTTGATGATGAGCATGTTTTTTTCAATGAGTGCATTTATGACCTTCAACAAGGTCATGAGGTAGTGCTACAATCACCTTATCGCGAGTTGTCAAGTAAGCATCATTGGTCGGCTGTGATATGACGAGCAGCTACCCCACAACTTCATGTGCAGTGAGCTCATGCCAAAGCCCACAAGGGGAAACAATCATCTGGAGCCGACAATGAAGCTTCCATCCCCTAGACGGGCGATGTCAACCTTGATGAGGTTCATCATCACTGCCACCTCCAAGATGGTGGTTAACAAATGTGGCACTTTATCCTCGCGGCAGTCATGAGACCGCCCTCGAAGGCGACTTTGTCTATGCCAGTAATGGAAAGGTCGACCTAGGGATGAACACCCGCCGGCCACAGCTGGTGTGATCATGCTCAACGACCACTAACAAAAATTGAGTGAAAACCAAGCACAATATGTCAGTTGATGTACCTTGTGATGTTGTCCTTCAATGTCAGGAAACTTGGCACCGGCTTCCATGGTTTCACGCAGGCTCACTTGGTAGGAGTGGGCCATTACTGGCAGAAAACGATTAATGAGATGTGGAATATAATGAGAAGCTATGAGAGACCTTAATATGCTACATTTAACATTGTGTTAAACACCACTACTATCACCACAGACAGACAAGAACAGAACACATAGCAGGAGTCCAAACATTATGGAAGCTAGGACTAAAGTGCTTACTATGCATATCAATGCCAATACAGTTACAACACCCTGTGTTATAGCTGCCCTTCTCAATACAGTCAAGATTTTATGTACTGTATTTGATTTTACAGAGGCAGAATACACACTATCATTCTACATAGCTAGACCACCTGAAGGGGGAGCTAGAGAAGACAAAGAAGTGGCAGTTATACAGGCCTTCTACATAGCTTTCTGATGCATATACAATCACCCCAAACAGATAAGAACTGAGGTCACAGGAGCAATCTAAAAATGGTAGGAATGAGTGATAATGTCTACAGTGTGCCTCATCTAATGCATATAAAGTCGAGCTGTAAGTAGATTAGTAACACATTCTATAGTAGCTCCTGTCATGAATATAATCAGGGTTTTAGGCAATTGATTGGATTTTACAAAGCCTGAATACCCATGGTTACAACCAGGCCTGCATAGCACAGCCACATGTAGAAAAAAGCGGCACTACCAGGGATTGAACCCAAGGCTCCTGGGTTCCCAACCAGCAGCTGGACTAGCTGAGCTGGGCTGAGTTTGAAAAAAGTGTGCAAAATGAGCACCCAGCTGCACTATCAGCCACTGTGGCAGCTGTGGCAGGGGCAGAAGGGGGCAAACAGTGGCAAACAGTGTCCATATATGGTGGAGAGGCATGAGAGAGGCAGCTGACAAAGATTGGGGAGCACAGCCCCACCAAAAGAGGATGGATTGCAGCCAGGGCTTGTGGATGACAATTTTAGGTGGCTGGGTGTGGCTTGTAGTAGCTGGCAGTGGTGGCTGTGGCTGAGAGCGAAAATAGGCGCCCAGTAGCGCCCAGATGGGCTGGGTGGCCAGTCCCAGGCTCTAAACGTGTTGTTATGGGCTCAAATGACACAACATGATGAAACAAAGTACACAGACCATGTGTGTAGTGCTACTAGTGCCTACTGACCAAAAATGAAGCAGATCCAACCATGGGAAGGGGATGGATGGCACACAGGCCTTATAGATGTAGCAGTGCCGTGGGCGCCTCTGAAATGGACGCCCATGAGCGCTGTGCAACCCACATCATCAATATGCGCACAGAGGGATGAAAAATGCGAAGTGGGGGATAAATGGGGGGTCTACAGAAAGAGCACGCACCTGGGAGAAATCTGGCAGGGTTCTAAGGGTGAGAGGGCATGGGAAGGGATGTGCAGTGGCCTCAAAGTATCATAGGGGTGGGTAATCAATAAATGGACACTCACCTAACACCCACAGACACCCAAAGCTTACCAGAGAGTTGAAGAGAGTGCTGAATCCATCTCACACAGAACTCGGTCTGTGCTCCAACGACCAGACCACCCGAAATGGCAATGTCGCAGGCATCCCAGGCTCAAGACCACCGCTCTAAATCGGTGCACCGAGTAGGCATGGTACAGGAGCACAGGGACTGGGGGTGGGGGCATCCTCCCACTCATAAGCACTGGACTTTGGCCAAAAGCCAGGCAACAGAGGTGAAGGGTGGATGAGAGTCCCCCAAGAGAGGAGGAGCAGTGGCAGGAGCGATGAGAGTGCGCTGGTGGCGCTTATGTAACAGTTTTCTCACACACCTATTAGGCAACTGCATCTGGGAACATTGCTTACACTCTCTATTGCTCATTTCATGTCCGTTTCTTATGATTTAAACTATGCTGAGTACGTATTCAAAGTGGCGTTTCAATGGTGTATGTTACATAAGCATATTACCAGGCACAGCACTATAACCCTGTCAACACTGCCAAGCAGTAGTTGCTACAGTATAGCAGCTGCAAAGCACAATACATAACATAACATATACTGTCTTGTAGCCCTTCGAAGAGGTGTTCTAATACACCTACATATATAGTGATTGGCTCAGAAACAAGCCTATAATCAGCCATATACAGTACATATAGTGCTGCAGCAGTGTTACTCAAACCATTCCATCGCATCTGCTTCCACAATCACGTGACATCAACTATTAGATCCCTCCCATCAATGCGCATCGAACACACCTAAAATCACCACAAACGGACATCATCTGAGCTCATACCAACAGTTACAACATATGAACCATATGTCATAGACCTTACAGGGCTGAAGACACTGCATTGATATGAGCGCTTTGTTGACATCTAGACTAGTTACTATGTGGACTAGGTTCACAAATATAATCAACATTATAGGGAATTGATCTGATTTACTAGTAGGCAGGCATAGGTGCAATGAGCAGAGGCAGGGCGCTACAGCCACTAGTTGTCTAATAACTTGCGGAAGCCTCACTTTTCTGAAAGCAGCCCTTCAAAATTCGAATCAATGTCTATAAATCTTGAGTATATTCATAGTAGTACTGAAGCCCCAAAGAGCGCTCATCTCAGTCTAGTTGAATAGGTGTGAACACTAACAGGCACTACAAAGTGTAGAAAGGAGTGAAGCGCTGGGCCCAGGTGGCAGTGCAAACCCAGCGCTAGTGGAACCCTACAGGGGGACCCTAACCCAGAGCTAGGGTGATGGGAGTAAGTAGCAAAGCTATGCGTGAGAAGTGGCTGTGCTAGTCAAGAGTAATCGGAGTATGGAATATATTCCCACGGCGTTGAGTTAAGGGTGTCGCGCATCGCAGCCAGAGCCCACCCCATAAAGAACGATTCATTTGTACCTCATTAATCGTAATGTTGTTCAGTTGAAGTTGGTAATTCCACGCATTATTCCTCATTTCCTACTTGGTGATATCATCTCATACTCTACACACATACCCTCCAGGTTTGGCATTCATATGTCAAGTGGTTCTTGAGATATTCACTACTTTACATTGTGGCACCGCAGCAGCCGCTTTAGGCAGCTGCTCTGGCATCTATGCAGATCCCTGCTCTTAGACTAGGGTTTGCTCCGCACTTTTCACCAGATGCTGGGTGGGCTCTTTCCTTACCTTCTCACCACAGCTTCTAGGTTCGTCCTTGTATATCCCTGGTCCCTTATTCGATGCAGCTTCTCATCACAGCCTCTAGAGTGCGTGTGGGATCTCCAGAAGTCGCCAGAGGCCTAGGATTCAACATGCTATGAGCCCTGCGCTCTGATCACGTCCAAATCCTCCCCCTTCGCTTCCCCTTCTTCCCAGCCGGTAAATTGCAGTCAGGACGTGTTCCTTTGCGTGTGTTCGCTTCCAAGTCGCTCGCCGCCGTCCCTTCCGGCACCTCAGCGCATCAACACACCCCTATCCTCATGGGACGTCATCCGGACATACTCTGCGCCGAAAAAACCCCTATCCTGGTGCCATCCAGCCTCGCATTCACCCCTATTCCCATTTCCAGTCGCTCTTCTCTCCCTCCATCCCGTGCTCGCTATCGCCCCCATCTGCGTCCCCTTCCCTCGCAATTTCAGCCCCACACTCCGCACCATGTCACATTCATCCTCCCTTCAGATAGCGCCCCTACCGACTGCCAACTACCCTCAATGGAGTGGCGAAATACAGGCCTACCTCATGAAACATGACCTCTGGGGCATCGTTCACACAAAGGAGTCAGAGCCACCTGCAGATCAGGACACAGAGCGGAAGGATTGGAGGCGTTGTCATGATAAGGCAGCTGGTGAGCTCTTCCTGGCTGTCACCACCGAGCAACGAGCGCATTTTGTGGGCGCACAAGACGACCCTACCACCATGTGGAACGCACTCAAGGCCTCGCACGTCAAACACCGCCCTGGTGCGCGATTCAACACATACAATGCGCTGTTCTCCATCCGCAAGGAGGAGAACGAGTCGCTCAGTGCGCTGACATCGCGTATCGAGGAGGGCATGCGCACTGTGCAGAACCTGCACAGTGCCAAACTTCACCCTCGCCTCCCTGGACGACGAGCTGCAGAGCATGTGCCTCATCTGAGCGCTGCCCGACGCGTTCACCTCGTTCATCGACGCGCTGCTGCTCAAGGACAACCTCAGCAACGCCGACATTCTCGACACCTTCCAGAACTACGAGCTCCACCACTCCCAGGCCGCGTCTTCGTCCCCTGCGTCGTCCACTGCGCTCTCTACGTCGTCTGCCCCTGTCACCTGCGAGTTCTGCGGCATCCCGAACCACACGATCGCCCAGTGCTTCAAGTTCCAGGCAGCGAAGAAGGAGGCTCAAAAGCCACGCCCTGGACGCAGGGAATGCGCGAACAAGGCCGACACTTTGTTGCCCAAGTCCGACGCTCCTAGCGCGACCGAGTTCGCAGGCAACACAAGTCTCCGCTCCCCCTCCCCACTCTCGCCTCTCCAGCTCGATGCTGATGTGCGATGGACTGCAGACTCTGGGGCCACGTCTCATATGACGCCCCATCGCCACTGGCTGCGCAACTACGAGCCTCTGCGCATCGCGATCCGCCTAGCGGACAATCAAGTTGTCTACTCGTCAGCGTCGGGTTGGTAGTCTTCAGGCCAGTGCTGGGAGGGCGCGATGCGCGCGATGTTGAGTTTACAAGAGTCCTACATGTCCCTGCGTTACGAAACAACCTCCTCTCTGTCCTATTCCTCACCAAACGCCGCGGTTTCACCATCACGATTGGCTCGACGCGCATGGACTTCACTCTCAACGGCTCGACGCTCTTCTCTGCCCCTATCACGGACAGCAACATCGCCTACCTCGCCGGCACCACTGTGCCCCTTCCTCTCGCACTAGCTGAATGCGCTGCGATCGCATCCACCCTACCTCTCGACGAGCAGCTGTGGCATCGCCGCTTCGCCCACTCGCACATCGACGGCGTGCGCAAGCTCCACGCGCAAGAACTAGTCACTGGCCTCACCCTGAAGTCGTCAGCGCACCCTGAACCACTGTGCGAACACTGTCTCGCAGGCAAGAGTTCCCTTCGTCGTCTACACGCAC